ACGCAATGCAACATAAGGACGAGGTATCAGTCAGCTGCGCCGGCAGCGGTCATTTCGCGCTGGAAACGCCTTTTGCTTTGCGTAACATAAATGGATTTTATTCAATAACCAAGCATGTGTTCTGTCCAATATTTACCCAGCACTCAGGGTTGCCAGGTTTTCACAGCAAAACCCACCCAATTTCTACTCAAAACTAACCCAATCGCGTTTCGAGGGGGGGGGGCCCCCGGTAAAAATCGCACTCCAGGGGCTAAATATCATGTTATTGGGGTCACTTCAACCCATGGATATGAAAAAAAAAAACCTTTCTCCGAGGAGATTGATACGGAGGGCGTCAAAGAGCTCGCCAGTTGCACAAACATCAGTTACACAAGCATATTATGCCTGATATTATAATGAGCAGCATTAATAAGGAGAGGAGCTCGCACAGTCGGGGCGGATTGTGTTTTTTCCCCGCTGTTAAACGCTCCGCTCTCGCCGGGCACGCTCTGAGGAGTGTGTCCGTGCCTGTGATCTTGTGATTGTGGTCCCGCTGCTGCTGAGGCACGGCGGCGACTGAGAACACGGAGATCGCTCATGATCTAGCAAACGGGTTGGAGACGGCTCTTCCTATCTCCACCCGTGTTCGCTAGATTTAGAGCTCGTTTGTTTGTCAAGGAGATTGATATTGTTCATGTGACTGAATGGCTCGTGCGCAGCGCATATATTACATCATTTCGGTTTTTGTTGTGAATCGTACTACACTAGACCGTATACTCATCTGGTTGTTTGATTGCATTTAATTCTGAGGAATAAAATGAAGTATTTGTCTGACTATGAGAAGTTAGATATACAGGGGCTCTTGGGATATAAATTTCTCGAGCGAGAGCACACGTTAACCTCTCTTCCTTTGAGAAGGTTGAGGCGGTTAGCAGATCCTGATGCTGTGGCTCAGGACTTCGGAGGGCAGGCCCCTCTGGGGAAGAGAGGTTCACACCGCATTACATGGTGCCCGTCTCTCCTCAGTGCCCTCAGGAGGTCGGTCTGCCAACCCTTCCATGTTTCAGGGTGCAGCGGTCTCCAGCAGGCTCTGGTATTAGAAAAAGAAGTAGTTACTCTCTTAAGGAAGGAGGCCATCGAGGTGGTCCCTCCGTACGAGACAGACTCCAGGTTCTACAGCCGGTACTTCAAGACGTCGAGAGTGACCGACTGAAAGGGAACCAGGGTTACATACGTAACCTGAGACGTTTCAGCTCAAAATACCCCACAGATTATATCATTTTGAAAATGCCTATTTGGAATGGAAGCAGAAACACGCTGTATTAGAGCATGTCTCTTTAAATGCAAATAAGCTGCTGCTCCCCGTCCCCTTTTCCAGAATAGAGCTGGGCCATTACAGCTCGTGCCTGCTAAAAACATCTGTTTTGGTTCTGATTATCGCACTGAAATCATGCGTGTTAAACCATATAAACTTCTGATATACGGTTTTCTGAGTGCACACATCCAAAGCACATGGACAGAAAGCGGCTGTCACAGCATGTGAGTACTAAACTAAGTTCTCATTCACACACAGGTTTACGTTAGAAACACACGAGTTACAAAAACAGTCGGTTATGCCTGTGAAGGCAAACAGCTGGGAAATAAATTGCATGTTTATTTTAGATCTGTGTGGCAGCAGCAATATACAGTAAATAAATCAATAGATTCACTGCTCGGTTGTCTCCTCTGAGGCTGGGACTCTAAACAGTGTTCTGTGCTCGTCTGTGCAGCCAGTGACAGAACAGTTAGCATGTTTTGCTCAAACTTTCACCATGGCATTAGAGCTGGTACACCGTTGTCGCTTGCAAAATCAAAATGACTGCGCTGTGGGTGGAAACTTACAGATTAAGAGGCGGTAATATTATAATGAGATCCCTTTGCCACATCACCAAGGGAGCGAAAACAGACGCGCTCGTTTTCTCAGACGTTTGCAGAAGAAGGCTTACCAAAACAAAGTTATTGGGTTAATCTTTTTCACGTTTCCTTGGTTGGTAGATGCACCGGGGACCTGATTATAGCACTTAAAACTTGGAAAAGTCAGATTTTCATGATATGTCACCTTTAAAGTAGCCCAATTCCGCGGGAAAAGTTTGGATGTTTTTAACCCAGCATATTTTAGAGTGTAGATGAATAGAAAGGTCAAAAGAACAGCATGTATTAAAAATAAAAATATTTTGTAACATTATATGAATGTGTCCTTATTGAATAAAATTATTTCTTAAATATAGAAAAAAAACCTTACTGAAATTAAATATAAAAAATAAAATAAAAAAATAAGTAATTTCATATGCATATGAGGGATACAAACGGGGTCTGTTTCATAGAACGACTCACAGTGCCATATCCTAATTGATTAAAGCATTCGAAAAACACCACAATGATACTATATCTAACTGCATGAAGCTGTATGATTAAGAAAACGGCTGAACCTGGTGGTGGGAGGTCAAGCTTCATTTTGCGAAGTTCAGACATGGAAACTTTAAGCTGCTCTATGACAAGGTCATCGTTGAGGTAGATGGACTCTCCAATCTTCTCCTGCAGGAACTCTCTCAGGTCCTCCAGAGACATCTTAAGCAATCGTTCTGAACATGATTCACTTCAATTAGCCATTTTTTCACAGAAGAATCTGCAGTCAATAGATTTCTATAATGTGCTGAGAGGGTTTAATTTATATGAAGGCAATCAGATGTATTAGCATGCACTATGAGTTTGTTACTGGAGTTTGTTTTATAGACTTTTGGATTAAAATATTGTTAATTTCAGTATTGTAAAAAAAAAAATGAACTCACTTTTATGGAGCTGAAGGATGGTGTAAGCCATAGCTGTCAGAACTTTCTCACCCTCAAGGATGAAGATGTCCCACAGACGTAAGGTCAAAGTGAATGGGGTCTGAAAACAGTAACAACTTTGTAGATAATCTAAGACCGACATTTCTGCACAAAGGTTTTCATAGCATAATGGAAAACATAAATGTGTAGAATATTTCATTTTAAACTGGGGCCTCTGCTGGTCTAAAGCTAATCTGCCTCAGCGAGCTGCCAGTCCACAAGCACAACTCTGAAACCGAGCTGGACCGGATTCTGCAGCGCTGGCAGTGTCTGCTCTTTCCTCTTTCAGCAAACCCACAGGATTGTGTGTATGCGGAGAGTAAACATTGAAACACCCTTGTCTGCCTGCTAATTGCACACTGCTCCCTCTATCAAGAGGCCTTGACAAAGAAAGTGGAAGAAGCACTTCAGCCTCTTTCTGTCTCCCACATCATGGCGTAGATATGTGGGGGCGTGTTCGAACCAGCCGTTTTAGGGGGGTGTGGCTGACTCTGAACTTTTATAAAGAATATCTCTTTGGATTTGAGACTTTAGTCTTTGCAAATTTACAGATCTTCTTTATGCACCAAGAGCTTGTAACACTCCAAAGAGAAAGGAAAAAATTAAATCGCATCATATGACCCCTTTAAAGCCTAATTCCTCTTCACCAAGTCCACCAACCTCAATCTACATTGCCATGCTTTATAGTGTTTTAATGTGGCTGCTTGTTAGCCATTTTCAAATAAGACCATGTTATGTAAAGTATACCATGGGTCTGTTCTGAACCTAATGAGGGTTTTTTTGATAAAATGTAGGCCTACTAAAATAAGTTGGATGTCAGAAACTAGCGATCAGAAACTTAGGAAAGTGGTGCACTGTGCCAAACATCAACCAATAACAATCTGTTTGGCGCCCATTAATTATGGTCACTGTACCTAAACATTTTTCCTCATGTAACCAAAGTGTGTTCATCCGAGTGTGCTTGTTTAATTATTTTAGGGTGCTTTATTTTTGGGAAGCATCATGTCCCTATAAATCTATAACTTTTTAATATTTTTTATAGATTTTAATGTTTTACCTTTAACTTAGACTTTTACTATTATAATATGAGTATCTATTATAAAAAGATCAATTATTATGCATTTACTTCTGATGATGATCTAAAAATAGGTCAAGTAAACCCTAAATCATTTCAGTTTATATTATATATTATGAAATAAAAATATTCAACTTATAATTATATTATGTGTGATGTCATTTTGAAGAATATTGTGATCAAAACAACATTTGGACCTCAATTTTTTTGTGTGTAGGGGGGGGGGGAGATTAAAAAATATATTTTGTTACACAGGGGAAAAAAATTAAAGTAACAACATGAGTAACAACAGGTTTGGAACAACATGAGAGCGAGTAATTACAGAATTTTCATTTTTGGGTGAACTAAGCCAGTGGACATGTATACGTACATAATTTATATAAATTTACAAATTAAAAGCATTTTCATACAATAACTAAATGATAACAGAGTTTTCATTTTTGGATGAGCTATATATCTAGTCTAATTAAATAAACTTTTTTTAAGAGTTTATTTTCTAAAAGTCCTGTACAAGAGGAAACATCCAATGAACACAAAGCTTGAAGATTATGGGCCTCATTTATAAAATGTGTGTACACACAGCTTTGATCTTCGAGTGCATGTACGGTAAAATCCACGGCAACGTTCAGATGTATAAAAACGGTCTTTGACGTGGAAAAGTACTTACCGCCACGTCAGGGTCTGAGCAGGCGTACGCACTTTTCCTTGTGGCAAAGTCGGAGTACTGCAGCTATTTGAACATCTAAGATGCAATAATAATAAAAGCGGTGTACGTGCAAGCACCGAATTCATCATAAACAACAGATACAGTGTAAGAGATTAATTGTGCAGTGTAGTCAGATTTTTTTATTAATGGGAGTTTTTGCGAGATTAAACGGACCTTTTTAGTAGTCTAATGTTGAGAGTTCTTTACTCGCTTTCTGTACACAGTTTATTCCATTTTTTTATTATTATTTTATTTTACAAGAGAACTCTTGATTTACTACTAATGCATAAAAAAAAAACGCATCTCCAATTTTTTTTCCAATAATGTTTTATAAAGTTCTGCAAGAATTTTGTGATACTAAAAACAGACTCAGAAGCATAGAAATTCGGATATTGGTGTGTGCTCTTTTATATGGTAATGATATTAATTAGGGGGTGTTTACAAGGCGGAGATCTGACACCAGTGAGCTGCGCACAATTTCAAGATAATTTGCTATACATGATTCTACAGATCAGCAGTTTCTTTCCTCAGAGGTGTCCCTGACTTCTCTGCATCTACACCTAATCAAACTAATTATCAATGCCTTGCTGTTGACATTCAATCCCAGTTCCTCCTTCTGTGTCCACATCTACAATGAGTCAAAATCTCTGCCTGTATAAACCTGAATGTCCACTTAACACCTCAGTTTTTAGCTGAGCAAGTCTGAGCAGATCTCACTGCCAGCATCTCTTCATATAAACACCTCTCACTTGAGCAGATCCAGAAGTGTTTCCATCCCACGATGGTTGAACAATCACAGTTACAATCAGAACAGCTGACTCAACAGTTACATTCAAAGAGAGCCAAATGAATCACCACTTTTAGGATTGTCTGCAGTGACCTGAACCAACACTATAATATACACACAGTTGATGCATCATTTCCTTGGCTTTTGAGATCTAAGCATAGCATATGATTGAGCATGTACACCTATCTACTAATCTCCGCTTACATAACACCATTGTCAGTTTGGTTACAATGCATCTGCTCAGATCAAACACTTACCCTGTCAATAAAACACTGGAGGAACCATTTAGTGCTGTAAATCCCACTGGACATCTGCTCCTTATCCTGATGAGAGTGCATATAAACAGACAAAAAAAAGAAAAGAATGAGAAGGGAAGAGACCCAGCATTAGATACAGTATCATGTTAAGTGAATGAAGTTAATAGCTATATTTATTGTAACTTAAATAATCTTATAGGTTCTGGGCTCATTTTGTACTCGTGTGTGCCACAACAATCTTACCAAATGCTTCTTTAGTTTGGGTAAAAGTTTGGAGAGAATCTGGTCGTGGTGGTTTTGGAAACGCTGAAGTTTGGGAAATCCAGGAACAAAGAATCCTGTGATGGGTTGCAAATGTGAAGGCATGATAAAAAAAAGTGTCACGTGTTTCCCAGTACTAGACATACGATAATAACCTCTGTTAAATTCGCATGGGTAAAAGTTTGGAGAGAATCTGGTCGTGGTGGTTTTGGAAACGCTGAAGTTTGGGAAATCCAGGAACAAAGAATCCTGTGATGGGTTGCAAATGTGAAGGCATGATAAAAAAAGTGTCACGTGTTTCCCAGTACTAGATTTACGATAATAACCTCTGTTAAATTCGCAAGTGTTATGTACACTACCATTCAATTTTGGGGTCAGTAAGACTTGAAAGAAATTAATACTTTATTAAATTGACAGTAAAAGCATTCATAATGTTACAAAAGTGTTCTATTTCAAATAAACCCTGTTCTTTAAAAAAATTATATTCAAAGTCTCCTGAAGAAAAAAAAAAGTTGCATGGTTTCCACAAAAATATTAAACAGCACAAATGTTTTCATCTTTTATAATAATAAGAAATGGTTCTTAAGTAGGAAATCTGCATATTTGAATGATTTCCGAAGAATCATGCGACACTCAATACTGGTGTAAGGTTTATTATTATTTATTAGCTCTAAAAAGGGGAATATTTATGACGAATTATAACTGGTTATGATTCATAATAAATATTTAGATTATATCTTCGAATTAACTGTAGCAGAATCAATATTACAATTATTTGATCTGTCCGTCCACCGAGCAGACAATATAATCATTTATCAATTCAAGGAATATTTATTTTCTGGCCACGGAACAATAAACTGTCCTTCTTTTAGTAGTCTAATGTTGAGAGTTCTTTACTCGCTTTCTGTACACAGTTTATTCCATTTTTTTATTATTATTTTATTTTACAAGAGAACTCTTGATTTACTACTAATGCATAAAAAAAAAACGCATCTCCAATTTTTTTTCCAATAATGTTTTATAAAGTTCTGCAAGAATTTTGTGATACTAAAAACAGACTCAGAAGCATAGAAATTCGGATATTGGTGTGTGCTCTTTTATATGGTAATGATATTAATTAGGGGGTGTTTACAAGGCGGAGATCTGACACCAGTGAGCTGCGCACAATTTCAAGATAATTTGCTATACATGATTCTACAGATCAGCAGTTTCTTTCCTCAGAGGTGTCCCTGACTTCTCTGCATCTACACCTAATCAAACTAATTATCAATGCCTTGCTGTTGACATTCAATCCCAGTTCCTCCTTCTGTGTCCACATCTACAATGAGTCAAAATCTCTGCCTGTATAAACCTGAATGTCCACTTAACACCTCAGTTTTTAGCTGAGCAAGTCTGAGCAGATCTCACTGCCAGCATCTCTTCATATAAACACCTCTCACTTGAGCAGATCCAGAAGTGTTTCCATCCCACGATGGTTGAACAATCACAGTTACAATCAGAACAGCTGACTCAACAGTTACATTCAAAGAGAGCCAAATGAATCACCACTTTTAGGATTGTCTGCAGTGACCTGAACCAACACTATAATATACACACAGTTGATGCATCATTTCCTTGGCTTTTGAGATCTAAGCATAGCATATGATTGAGCATGTACACCTATCTACTAATCTCCGCTTACATAACACCATTGTCAGTTTGGTTACAATGCATCTGCTCAGATCAAACACTTACCCTGTCAATAAAACACTGGAGGAACCATTTAGTGCTGTAAATCCCACTGGACATCTGCTCCTTATCCTGATGAGAGTGCATATAAACAGACAAAAAAAAGAAAAGAATGAGAAGGGAAGAGACCCAGCATTAGATACAGTATCATGTTAAGTGAATGAAGTTAATAGCTATATTTATTGTAACTTAAATAATCTTATAGGTTCTGGGCTCATTTTGTACTCGTGTGTGCCACAACAATCTTACCAAATGCTTCTTTAGTTTGGGTAAAAGTTTGGAGAGAATCTGGTCGTGGTGGTTTTGGAAACGCTGAAGTTTGGGAAATCCAGGAACAAAGAATCCTGTGATGGGTTGCAAATGTGAAGGCATGATAAAAAAAGTGTCACGTGTTTCCCAGTACTAGATTTACGATAATAACCTCTGTTAAATTCGCAAGTGTTATGTACACTACCATTCAATTTTGGGGTCAGTAAGACTTGAAAGAAATTAATACTTTATTAAATTGACAGTAAAAGCATTCATAATGTTACAAAAGTGTTCTATTTCAAATAAACCCTGTTCTTTAAAAAAATTATATTCAAAGTCTCCTGAAGAAAAAAAAAAGTTGCATGGTTTCCACAAAAATATTAAACAGCACAAATGTTTTCATCTTTTATAATAATAAGAAATGGTTCTTAAGTAGGAAATCTGCATATTTGAATGATTTCCGAAGAATCATGCGACACTCAATACTGGAGTAATGATGCTAAAAATTTAGCTTTGCTATTACAGAAATAAACTATATATTTTAAAATATATTACAAAAGAAAACAGTTATTTTAAATTGTAACTATTTCACAATATAAACATTTGACTATTTTTTTTAAATCAAACTGACCGTAGCTTAGGACTTTTTTTTTACATTAAAGAATACTGACCCAAAATGTTTGAATGGTCTTATCGTATATATATATATATATATATAGCCTTATCGTTTAAAAAAAATATCTAAATCAACATTAAAATTCTTAGCCAAGAGCAGAATAAATGAGGACTCACCATGCATGGCATGTTTCTGATTGGTTAAGAGCTGGGACAAAGCCCAGAATGCATCTTCTTCATTCATGAACATTAACAGTATGGCAGCAATCTGACTCATGCCCTGGCAGTAACTCACTTCCTGTGGACAAGAACAGACAAAGTCAGCGATTATGTAACATCTCTTTATTAAGCATAGATGTGATCGCACACTTACGGTATTGTAAACAGAGTATGCAGAGAGCACATGGAACAAAGACTGCTGCCTGTGAAGAGAAGAAAAGTGTTGTCAGACTCAAACTCTGTCTTTTACTGAAAGTGCACTATGAAACAAACACACATCAACAACACATGAACCAAACATCCATATTTTTCCACAAAGATGCATTCGCTCCTCAAATTAAAGTTGAGGCCCTCCCTTCATGTGTGAGCATTAATGACACCCTTCAGATGAGCAAGACTTTCCACTTGGCTCTCTAAGGCCTGCAATCTATTAAATCCACAGTGACATCACTCCCTTTTCTGGCCTGCTTGGGGAACAAGCTCTCAAAACGCAGAAATCAGGTCCAGAGATTGTCTGCAGAAGTGGCGAAGGGAGACTGAGATGTTGATGACCATACACTCTGGCACTTTCATAAAGCACATAAATAGCCAATACAAGAGATGTTTGAGCAAATTTGTGCATTCATTTCGCAATAAACACATGCAGTGTACATGTCCCTGTTCTGTAAATGTGTCTGTATTTTATGTGCATATCCTTTAGTTTGGGAACCAATTCTCACTATTAACTATGACTTTTGCCTTAATAAATGTCTAATTTAGGAGCTTAGCCTTCAATTAGACCTGTCTAAAGAGGCCAGATCACCAAAAAGGAGGACACTTTGCAGGATTTGTAAAGCCAGGATAAAAACTGAAAATTAATCCTACACCTAAACAAATATACACATTTCAATTAAGATATATTATTTCCCTTAAATTGATTTCCAGAGACATTTTTAACCTACAAGGGCAGTTTTTTTTACCTAACTAAATGTATGCCTTAAAGCATATAATCAAATTATTTTAATGTGTTCATGTGTTACTTACTTTACACCAAATCGATCCATGAACATGATGTGGTCTCGAAAGGTCCTGTTGATATCAAGGTCAATCTGTTTGATTTCTGGAGAGTACAGCTGGGCTTGCTCCTTCATTCTCTGTCAATCAAACAAATGGCTTCATCAAAAATAGATTCAGTGTTGATAAGCTACCATGCAGTACAAGATGACATTAGAAGACAACCATTTCTAGATTTAATTATGTGATATTATACCTACAATACTGAGTGGTTTATTTTGTCAAAATGAACAGCTGACTAATACATCATCTCATTTATTACATACTGTAACTACTTTTATTCTCTTAGAAAAAAAAATTTCTGCGCATGATATATACACTACCGTTCAAAGTTTTGGGTCTGTTTCAACGT